GTTGAAGGGGGTGGGGGGCTGGCATTTGGGGGGCTGTGGGCTGCCAAGGGGATTAATACTAGAGCCATTGATTGTTGCTTCAGGGGCAGAGTAGGGGAGCGCACTGATACACGCTTCCGTGCCTCCCCCTCACTTTGATTCCCTCTCCACCCGCAATTTCAAGCCAACTGCCTGGCAGCTGCAGCATATCTAATCGGGCAGCGCTAAGGGAGTCACTTGACTTCATAGCTCATTGCCATCTACCTGATTCCTGCTAAACTCTTCTCCCCAGGGGTTAGCAACACTCTCAGTAATGTTCTTGACATTCCACTAATCCAGGTATCCTTCCTTCTGGTGTTTGGCAGTGCTCTCTTTGCTGCTTCTGGTCGCATCGCTCCCATTTCCCAGCCCTGTCCGCTCTTAACTTTCGCTAAAAACATTTAGTGTGGTGTGAAAATACCACACTTCCAAGAGACTTGAGAAGGCTTGACTGGGTTTTATGAGCCTGAAAGCAATGCACAATTAATACTAAGGTCTGCAGGACTAAAGGCCATGTGTTTTGCTCAGTTCTTTTTTCTGATTTGAATGTGTAAAGTGTGATGGGGCAAGCAAATACACTCTCCAATAAAGTTGTTTTGTTTTGTTTCAGTCTAGAAGTGAGTAGCATACGCCTTGCTCTCATGGCACAGACATGCACAATCTTGATAAGCAGTGCCAGGTTCTGCTGGCCAGGTCCAGTCCTTGGGTCTAATCTGGCTTCAGGGGGTGGCACAGCTTTACCTTGATCTGTCTGCAGGGGCAGAGCAGAGCAGCCCCGATTTGCTTTCCCTGGGAGATTTTGGGGGACTAGCCCAGATCCAGATGTGCTGGTGCGACAGGAGGGGTGAGAATCAGCCCAGCCTGATCTACATGTGCAGGGATAGGGTCTGATTCCCCTTCAGACCAGTAGTCTACTTGCGGCCACACAAAGCTTCCACTGCTCCCTGCTGTCCCTGCTTTACTTGTCTGGGCTATGTCTGGCCAGCGCTTGGAGCACACGGGTGCACATGGGCAAGGCGGTACCACATTGCTGTCTATGCCCATGCATAGAAGCGGTGAGTGGCACAGCTAGCATCTCTAGTGCAGGCTTCACCGCTTGGGAATACAGCTCCACAACCAGGCTTTGTAACTGGAGGCTTGGGCCCTGCCCCCAGCTGCCCTTTGGTTTCTCAGTGACCTGACTCACAGTGCCAGCGAGCATGAAGTGCATTTCCCCAGGGGTGGGATCTTGTGCTGTACCAGCTGGGTGGTTGGCATGGAGTTTGGCTTCCTAGTGCCAGGACTGGAGGCAGGAGGCTGTGCGTTGGCAAGCTTGTGTAACTAGCCTGGCTCTGCAGCTGGTCCGAAAAAAGATGCTTCCCTAAGAAATTCCTGCCTCTTTTCTGGGGCAGCGGGCCTCCAGCCTGGCTTTCCCACTCCACCACCAGCCCTGGCTTCTGGTCAAGGCCCTCAAGTAGCTTCTCCTCTGCCTCTGCTTTCACCATGGGGCAACTAGATCCTAGCTGCACCAATTGGCATGCACAATGGCAAGGGGGGGGCTACTGGCTTCCCATTGGCCAATTGGAAAGTGTTGCCAATCAACCAATCAGAGTGAAAGCTGCCTACAGGGCCGTCCCAGCCTATCCGGGCTCACTCTGCCCCAGTTCAGGCCTTTGGCTCCTAGTAGACTGCTGCCGCCCTGTGGACACAGGGTGTCACAGCAGGGGGAGGTGGCGGTAATAATCTGTGTTTGGCCCAGCTTCTCTCCCCTCTGTGATGGTGGTGAACAAAGTAAGGCTGGAAGGGACCTCAAGGGATCATCTAGTCCAGGGCTTGCCTTCCAGCCATGAGCAGCAACCCAGTGCAGAGCTGGGTGAATGCAGGGCTTGGGAAGGCTACATGCAGCTGGGGTGGCCCACCCTCACACCACCCACATCAGGCTTCTGATTTTTCCTTAACCCGATCACAGTGCAAAGCAGGCCAATCCGGCACCTCTGGGCCCAGCGGGATGTTGCGCTGACTCTCACTTCACCCTTGCTGGGAGGCAGCAGCAGCTGCTTTGTTGCTTTCCAGCCAGCACTGACGCCTTGAGATGGTGGGCAGCTCTAGGGTTTTGAAAAGGGTTGGGGGGTGCAGACAGTGCAGTGTATTAGCTCATCTAACACAGCACTCACTTTTCCTCAAAGTAAGAAGCAACTGAAAGCTTCGCTAATAAACGGGCCCTGAGCCCAGATTATTGTTTAAAACTGAAGCTTTATTGGCGTGTGCATTCATTTCCTCTGTCATATATGATCTAGAAAAACACAACAGACAAAACTAAATGCATTTCATCAAAAGACTGTTTCATTAGCCTTGTCACTACAGTTAAATGTATGTATGGACTACAGAAGGAGGTGGCATGATCAAGCCAATAGGCAATTAACTGGCAGCTGGAAAAAAGGTATTTATACCCGAAAGCTTGCAAAGAATTTTTCCAGCTATTTGAGTTTGCTTAATGAAAGATACTAGATTTACCCAAAAAACCGTGTCTCCCTATGGTGATGCATATGGGTAAAATATAACCCAAACTATAGCTACACCATGATGGTTTCTACATTAGCTATTACCAGACAGGAAAGAGATCTGGGAGTCAGCGCAGATAGTTCAGTAAAACATCAGCTCAGGGCTCAGCAGCCCTCAAAAAGGCAAACAAAAGGTTAGGGATTATTAAGAAGGGAATTGTGCACAAAACGGAAGGTATCATGATGCCCCTTTATACATCCATGGTGCATCCACATCTTGAAGACTGTTCCCGGTTCTGTTCCCTGCCCCTAGAAAGGAGATAGAGAAGGGCAACAAGGATGATGAGTGCTATGGAGGGTCTTTCAGATGAGAAGAGACTAAAGAGCTAGGCCTATTCAGTTTAGAAAAGAGATGCTTGAAGAGGGGCCATGGTAAGGGTTTACAAAATAGTAAATAGTGAAGAGATAGTCAATAGGAATTTATTATTTACTGTTGTTTACCATATAAGAACTAGGGGGTCAGAAAAAGAAGCTAGTGGGTCATCAGTTTTAAACTAAGACAAGGAAGTTCTTTTATATACAAGGTACAAAATTAAAATGTGACATTCATTGCCATCAGATGTCGGGGGAGCTGACAGTTCGGCTAGATTCAAAAAGGGAGTGGACACATTCATGGAGGAAAGGGGCATTGGTAGCTATTAAGCACGGGTGTGAGGGGCACAGCCTCTGAATTAGAGCTTCCTATACCCTCAGTGCTGGAGGCTGCAAGTGAGACGGGTTGTGGTGGGGAACCTTGCTCAGGCCTAATTCACTCTTCCAGCATTGGCTCTTTCCCCCGGTGTGCCATAGGAGACTGAAAATGGCTATTCTTATATATTCTTATGACCAATATTTTGCAACCTTTTTTTTTGCATTTTGTGCCCTGCTACACAGATGCCGGCTTGCAACTGCTCTTCCTTGCTTCTCGCCAGCCCATCTCTGCAGAGCCTGACCCCTGGCTTTCCCCCACCTGCTCCCAGTGTCCTCAGTGCAGAGAGGGTCACAAGTGGCTGGAGGGGTTGGGGCCTTTTCTAGCTGGCCTTCCCTCAGGAAGGGGTGGGGGGAGTAATTTATACCAGATGCTTAGCCCTGCCACTGCTCCTGCTCTGGTTCTGGGGCTCCCCTCCTCCCTAGTTTCTGTCTCTTACTGGTTTCCCCCCACTCCCTTGCCAACTGCACCCCACTGCAGAATCAGGCAAAGTAAAGAGGAGGAGGATTGTTCATCTGTGGGTAAGTGCATCTTTGGTCCTCTGAACACTGAAACCACAGTGCCCCAACACTCCCTGCACAACACCCCTGCGCTCACAGCCAATGCCCTGCTTCTGAAAGCCCCTCCCCGGTGTCTTCCCCTGCCCTGGAGGGGCTTCATGTGTCTGGCGGGAGGGGGTGGGTTGCTAGCTAATTTTGGTTCTGTACATTTTTTGGTCCTCCCATCTGTCTTTGCACCTCCTCTCGTCCCTGCAACCCACCCATCCACTCTCCCCACCACTCTCCACCCCCATATTTTCCTTTTTGTTTCTTTGCAGATATATATAACACCCCGCCATGAATAAATGAAACAGAACTTTTTTTGTGGGGGTGGGGTTGGACAAAAGAAACCAGAGAAACTCACAGCTGCTGATTTCTTGATAATAAAGGGTAGAAGCCTTGACAGTGTGTACCTCTGGGTCTGGGGCGGCATGGGGATATCTTGAGCGTGCGTGTGTGTGTGTGATCCCTATCAGTGCAGGGATTGTCCCTGGGGAGGGGGTTGTGCTTAACCCAAATACTGTATTTGTTTACACACAAAGCACTCCACTGAATGTATATAAAAGCACTCCACTCTATCTATCTATCTATCTATCTATCT